CTCCCCATCCGCCTCCCAGCCCGCCCTGCCTGCGCTCGCATCCACACGCCCCTGGAGCAGTCGACCCCAAGATCTGCCTCAAGCTCGGCCAGAGCCCTGCCCACATGCCCCAGCGATGCCCAGCCCCAGGCCATGGGGCACAAGGTGGGTTTGGGGAGGGCAGAGCTGGTGCTTGCTGCTGACCAGGCTCCGTGTGCCCTTTCAAGATGCCCCCAGCGCTGACAAGGGATTGCTCCGCTGCGGCAGCAAACGGCCAGTGCTGTCTGCATGGGAAGCAGGATGGCTGGAGAAACGATGGACAGAGCGGGCGGGGGGGAGGATGGTCCTGGCCACTGCCCCAGGGTCCTGCGCAGAGCAGCACTGCTTGGGGGGGACCTGTCCGGCTGTGGGGATGCACGGGGCAGCCAAGCTGCGGCTGCGATTTGTCACTCTCCCTGGCTACAGCAGGCCCTTTGCCACCTGCTTTATTTGTCTCCCAGCCCTGACGGGGCATCAGACAGGTGTTAAACTACTTAATCACTTTAAAATTGTTTTAATTTTCTGTTTTTTATTGATCTCCACAGCACCAATTAATCAGCTCACTGGACCAGGCAGTTAGTACATTAAAAATTGTCAGCCACACTGGGCAGCTTAGAAAATGTCAAAAAAAATATCCCGACAGCAGCCCCTCACTTCTCTTGCCGTGCAGAGCCTGCTCCTGCTGAGTGCTGGCTCTGCCCGCGGGTGGTGACGTGGCTCTCCCAGCCCTGCCACGGGGCCAGGGCGCGTGGGGCACGGAGCCTCGGCCCCATCCCTGTGCACTGTGCTGCCCATGGGACTCAGCCTCCCATGTCCTCACACAGGGTCCATCAGTTCTGTCATCTGCTGGCGTTTGTCCCATCGATGTAGCAGAGAGGCTGCATGGTTAAGGGGAAGCGTTATAAGCCCCCCACAATTGCTGGGGGGCTGGAGAGGGACCTATGGGGGGAGATCGGTCTTCCCTAAGCCCTGGGAAAGTCCTGCTGAGCCGTCAGGTCTCCTTGCAAAGTCCCCACAGCCCAGCGTGTATGTGTGGGGGGGAAGTGATAGATTGGAGAGGACTTGAAGCCAAATGCGGGCCCTGGTGCGCGGGCAGATGGGTCGCACGGTGGTGGTTTGCAGTTCCACGCCACAAGGTTGGTGCTCAGGGCCACTGCAAAGCCCCAGTGCTTCAGGGACTTCAGTTGTCCCCAGGGGTGGATTTTGCCACCAGCCTGTCCTCAGACCTTGCCTGCAACCACAGCGGAGGGTAGCTTGGGTTGCAGCCCCCCCCCCCGCCAGCAACTCCTTAGTGCCTGTGCCACGCTGCTAATCCGTATATGATAGGCCAGCAGCACCTTATCTCCTATTGATTTCCTCCCAAGACACAGCTGGTCTGTTTGCTCACACCTGGTTGGCACTTAGCTGACTCTCAGCTGAACAACTGCCGAGCCTGCTGGGTGCCCAGCAGCATGCCTGTGCCAGCAAGAGTCCCTTTAGCACCCCACGGCAGCTGGGGACAGATGGCCCTATGTGGCATCCACCATTGGTGTGCAAGGGCTGAGCCCTGGGGAGCCAGAGCAGGGGATGTGCAGACCCATGTGTACACACCCACATGTACACACATGTGCGTACACGCAGCCCCCATTGCACAGGGGTGCAGCACAGAGCGGGGGGGCCCCACGAGGTTGGCAGGCAAACACACCAGGGCTATTGATGCCACATCAATCCTGCAGCCCCGACAGGTGAATGGGCTCTCACTCACACTGTTAAGATAAATGATATTTATTTGCTGCTAAGAGGTTCCAACAAGAGGCCCCAACAAGTGACTTTTGAACCAGCACCTCTTGCTGCTGGTGCACACCCAAACCAGGGAAAACCCTGGGAAACATCCCCAGGGCTGCCCCACTCCTGTGGGCTCTTCCTGCCCCACACACAGCACCGCAGCCATGGCCCTTTCCCCTGCCTGGCAAGCAGACCCTGCCCCATATGTGCTATCCCAGCCCCTTCTCCAGCCCAGCATCACGAGGGCACCCTGGACCGCACGCCCACGAAGCAAGCGCTGGGACTTGGCTGGGGCTGGGACCTTTATTTCATCAATGCCGACAGCACGGTCACGCTTGATGCTGCCCACGCATGCTGCTTCCAGCCCTGTGAGCCATGATCCCTGGGCAGGTGCCACCAGGAGTGGGGCAGCAGCCACTCCAACCCCACAGCCGGCTATCTGCTGGGGGGGTCCCCCCCCCCGCCCCCCGGGAGGAAGCAGGCAGCCAGACTGGGTGCCCCACGGCCCAGAGGGGTGGGCTGTGCCAGCGCTCAGCCGCTGTGCGTGCCCAAGCCCAGCACCGAGAAGGCCGCACGGTGCTTCCTCAGCAGCAGCCGGATCTTCTCGTCATCTGAGTCGGGATCCAGGGGCTTGTTGTACTCGTCGTCCTCAGTCTCAGAGGCCGCCCGTTCTCCGCCAGAGCCCCCTGCCTGCTGCGAGGACGAGGAGGGCTCCAGGGCACTCTTCTTCCTCCATTTGGTCCGTCGGTTCTGGAACCAGACCTGCCGCCCCACGGGCCCAACTTGATTAACAGCCACCATGCCACGCGCCCTGTGCCACGCAGGGACGAACACTCACCTTCACCTGAGACTCAGTCATGCCAAGGGAATAGGCCAGCCGTGCTCTCTCCGGACCCGCCAGGTACTTGGTCCGCTCAAAAGTCTTCTCCAGAGCAAAGATCTGGTGCCCTGTGAAGGTTGGGCGCGTGTGCTTCTTCTTGTGGATGCTCTCAGCCAGGTGAGCAGGGGCTGCGGGAGAGGAGGGAGGGAGGCGGGTGAGCACCTCATCTCTCTGCAGTGCACGGCTCTGGGCAGTTCTCCCCTTCCTGAGCACAGCACCAGCACATCCGCCAGCCCTCAGCACCCTCAGAGTCCCTCCATGCTGGCACCCCTCCAAATTAAAACTGTATTCTGGCTTCAAGGCTTCAGCCCCATCACAGGAGGGCTGAGCTGCCCTCTGTGTGGGCCCCATAGAGCCAGAGCCGGGCTGCGCACCTCCTTCCCAGGGACAGTGCAAATTTTTTGTGCAGAGAGGGGAAGGGTCGTTAGCAGCAGTGCATGACTCCAGAGCTATACAGGACCAGGAACACCATGTCCCCATGCCCTGCACCTTACAGGATGCATGACGGGAAGGCAGACAGAGTTACTCGGCTCGTGGCTATGCTGGGAGCAGATGGCCCAACTGCCTGACCCGTCTGCTCCAAGAGCATCACCTGGAGAGGGGGAAAGGGACCGCAGCTGCACCCAGCCCCTGACCCAGAGCCTCCCCGGGGCTCCTCACAGGACAGTGGGTCCACCCATCCCACCCACCCTCTGGCACAGCAGCAACATGCTCTGCAATCCCCAGCCAACTCTCCACCAGGCA